GATGTAGAGTACAGCACAGGGAATATAGTCAATAATATTGCAATAACTACGTACGGGGCCAGGGGGTGCTGGGAATACCAGGGGACACTTTGTAAAGTCTATGATTGTCTAACCACTGTGCTGTATGCCTGAAACCAAGACAAAATAATAGTGAAAGTAGACTGGAATTTTTTTTAAAAAAGGCTCTGCCCTGGCCGGTTTGGCTCAGCGGTTGGAGCGTTGGCCTGCAGTGCAGAGAGACCCGGGTTCGGTTCCCACTAAGGGCATGTACCTCGGTTGCAGTTTGTCCCCGGCCCTGGTTGGTCGTGCGGGTGGCAGCCACTCGATGTGTCCCTTCACATCGATGTTTCTCTCTCTCTCTCTTCCTCTCTCTCCCTCCCGCTCTATCTGAACAAAAAATGGAAAAATGTCCTCGGGTGAGGATAAAAAAAAAAAAAAGCTCACAGCTGTCCTGGGTGCCCCAGCTACAGGAGCGGAATTGGCACCAGATGCCCGAGTAGGAGCAGTGGAGACTCTACGCCATCCCCTTGCAGATATATCTGCAGTGCATGTGCTAGATGTGTATGAAACTGTATTTTTAAAAAATGTCACATCTAAGTGTTGCTGATGGTGAGATTATTCAGTGAAACAATCTTATATAACATGGTACTTAAAGAAAAGCTCAAATCTGTGGGTCTGAGGATTACTTAGTCATCTGTTTGTGCAGCTATATTTTTAACTTAATTTATGATGAGCAAATAGGTTTTTTTTTTTTTTTGAACTCCCAAGCTGTGTTTCCATACTTCAATTCGGTTTATTTTGCTCTCAATTTCCTTCAGAACACATTACAAAGAACTTTCTTTGGAAATTTCATAATGCTTCCATGAAAGTAGGCAGCATCCGTCAGAAAGGACCAAACCGAACGACTAAAATTCAAGACTTGAAATAGAATCAGGGGACATATGCGTTCTTCCCAATGCAGTGCAGTAGCAACATAGGTCGATGTTACATTCTCTGTGTTTTTTGTTCTTTTTATTCTTTTTCTTCCTTTTTATTTTTATTGAAAACATTGTCTATGGCCATGTAAAACCTCTGGCAACACTTCTGACTGACAAAGAATCTTTAGATCGTTGCCAATGGAAGTATCGTTATTGTCAGAGTATTATGAGGACTATGCAGCTGTAAAAATCCACTTGCCATGGGATTAGAATCGCAAGTCTGGATGACAGACGCGGACCCTGTCCTCAAGAAGGTTACCTTTGCAGAGTTTCTTTTTTTAACTTCATTGAGGACTCATTGACAAGTATAATTTTATATATTTAACGTGTACAAGATGGCGATTTTATATACATATACACTGTAGAATGATTACCAAGATCAATATGATTAGCACATTCATCACCTCATATAGCTACCATAGTTACCTCTGTGTGTGTGTGTGTGTGTGTGAGTGTGTGTGTGTAAGTGAGAGTGCTTAAGATCTACAACAACTTTCAAGAATACAATACCACATTATTAACTACAACCACTATGGTACATTCGATCCTCAGAACTTACTTTCCTTACAACTGTGAATGTGTACCCTTTGACCTGCATCACCCCATTTCTGCCTTCCCCCAGACTCTGGCAACCACCCTTCTATCCTGTTTCTATGAAATGGGTTCTGTTTGAGAGTCTACATGTAAGTGGTACCATACAGCAACTGTCTTTCTCTGACTTATTTACATAGCATGGTGCTCTCCACATTTATCCATGTTGTTGCAAATGGCAGGATTTCCTTCTTTTTTATGGCTCAGTAATATTCCGTTGTTTCCATACACGTGTTCTTTATCTATTCATATGGACATTTAGGTTGTTTCTACCTTGGCTATTGTGAATAATGCTGCAGTGAACATGGGCGTATAGATGTATCTCTTTGAGACACTAATTTCTATTCCTTTGGATATATACCCAGAAGTGGAATTGCTAGGTCATATGATAGTTTGATTTAAATTTTTTTTTTTTTACGTAAGTCCATACTATTTTCCACAGTGGCTGCACCCATTTACATTCCCGGCAACGGTGCACAGTGCTTCCTTCCCTCCACACCCTCCCAGCACTTAGGTCTCATCGTTCTGATAATAGTCGTTCTAACAGGTGTCAGGTGATCTCCCACTGTGGTGTCCTCACTGCATTTTCCAGCGATTAGAGATGGCTCTCCCAAACCCCATGACGAAACGCCAGACCCTACGCCAAGCGCCCCGTTTATAACGTCTCTTTACTTTGTGTAACGGTCTCCTTAGGTGTTAGTTTCACTTCCTACAGGAGGAAGTGGAGGCAGAGAGAGGCGGAGTGATTTGCCCAAGGTCACAGCTGGCAAGTGTCAGAGCAGGACTCCAACCCAGGTCCGTGCGGCCCCCACGCCAGGGCTCTTCACCGCGCTCCAGTACAGCCTCGTTTATTTTCCTCCTGGTTTGAAACAGCTTATTTTTTGAGACTAAGATCTAGATTCAATTGATATAAAAAACCTTAAGTGAATACTATGCGACCACATCCTATGGACTTTTCTATTCTCACCTTCATTTGTAAGGCTGTTCTCTACCCATCTGGAGTCTCATTCCTGCTGCTGTTACCATGTCACGTCTGTCTCCCGACTTTTGCACAGTCGACAGTTATGCCCTTTTAATACGTTCAGCATTTTGTCCCAACTTTCTGGGACCAGTAGGAGAAAACAGCCCTCAGCTGGGGGCCACACCAGCAGGAGCAACATTGGCGAGAACAGAGCATGCTCCCCGGGGACACCCTCTTCTCACTGGGGGCCACGCAGCGAGCCAGCCTCTCATCGTTAGAGCTTTTCAAGCTTGAGTCCTGTGTCTCCTAAATTCTGTAAGACACAAGCCAGGCTCTTCAGTAATTCCCGTAAAGCCCCCCGCTTGGTCTGAGGGCTGGGAAAGAGTCAGTCCCTCAATTCTGCACGGAACCCAGAAAAACCCACAGGCCTCCAGTAAAGCCCTCATGAGGAGCCCTGGCCCTGGGCTCTCTCGGGTCACCCTCTGCAGTGTCTGCCCCTCTCTTTAGAATGTGTGGGCACCCAACACTCCTTGATCTCAGCTTGGGGGACCCAACTTAGAAGGAGGCCTTGGAAGAACCCCACTTCAGCACCTGTTGCACGTGGATCTGGGAACTTTTAGCACACCGTTGTCATCGGAACTGTGATGGAGGCAGAGATGGAAGGGGGTGGGGTCCCTTGAAGAGAGTGTGGAGAAGTGAGGTGGCCAAATACGGGGAGCACTAGCATTTCAGGGCCCAGAAGGGAAGAGTAACCCCACATACGGGAGCAAAAGAAAAACCCAAAGTGCTGAGATGAGGTCCTAGGAGGCCAGAGAAGACCTAAGGGAGGGTACCGCTGGAAAACCAAAGAGAAGAGAGTGGAGGGGGTGATGTAAAGGATCAAGCTCCCTGCTGTTCAAAGAGCATCTAGAAATCAAGGATAAAAAGCTAACAGCTCAACAGAAAATGGGCGGAGACATGAGCAGAGAACTCCAACAAAAGAAAGGCAAATGGCCCTTGAGAGGCTGTAAAGACCTTCCTCCCAATGAGCCAATTGCAGGTGAAAACTACCCCGAGATCCATTTCTCACCTCTGAGATCGGCAAATGTTTTGACCACACATTGTGTTGGCAAGACTGCAGGGAAATGAGCACCTTCATGCAGTGCTGGTCCGCGTGCAAGGTGGTTCCACTCTGGTGTAGACACATCTGGCACTATCTACCCAAAGCACACTCATCATTTCTCTTTGACATGGAGGCTCACTTTATTTATTTATTTTTTATCCTCACCGGAGGACATTTTTCCATTTTTTGTTCAGATAGAGTGGGAGGGAGAGAGAGGAAGAGAGAGAGAGAGAGAGAGAGAGAAACATCAACGTGAAAGGGACACATCGAGTGGCTGCCACCCGCACGACCAACCAGGGCCGGGGGCAAACCGCAGCCGAGGCACGTGCCCTTAGCGGGAACCGAACCCGGATTTCATCTCTCTGGACCGCAGACCGACGCTCTAACCGCTGAACCAAACTGGCCAGGGCCAGAGGCTCACTTTATGCTCCTTGAAACATGCTTCGCATTTGGGTTCTAGGATGTAAACTTCCTGTATTCCCTCCTGTATCATAGTTCACTCCCTATGAATAGTCTTTACTGGCTAACCCTCCTCTGCCTGCCCTCTGAGTGTTGGAGTGCGCCGGGCTCATTCGGGACCTCTTCTCCATCTACACCCTCTCCTTAGATCATATCTCATCCAATCCCATTTTTTTGTATATGGTAAAATATCTATTAATATAAATTTTACCATTTTAAACTGTATGATTTAGTACCTTCACATTGTTGAGCAACCACCACCTCTGTCTTGTCCTAGAACAGTCTCATCACCCCAAAAGAAGACCCATACCCATTCACAGTGGTCTCTTCCCACTCCCTTTCTCCTAGCCCCTGGCAGCCACTAATCTGCTTTCGGTCTCTGTGGGTTTGCTTATTCTAAATGTTCCAAATAAATGGAATCATTTGCTTAGCATACTGATTCCAAAGTTCACCCATGCTGTGGCATGTATCAGTACTTCATTCCTTTTCATGGCTGTATAATATTCCACCGCACGGTTACGCCACATTTTGTTTATCTGTTTATCCATTGATGGAGATTCATTGTTTCTACCATGTGGCTACTTTAAATAGTGCTGCTGTGAATATCTGTGTACAAGTTTTTGTTTGAATTCTTGGTTGCCATTCTTTGCGGTCTATACCTAGGCGTGGATTTCCTGGGTCATATGGCAATTCTGTGTTTTTTAAAAATGTAATTAAATTAATTAATTAAAATGTAATTAAATTAAATTAAAATTTATTTTTATTAAATTTACTGGGGAGACATTGGTTAATAAGATTATATTTCAAGTATGCATTTCTATGATACATGATTTGCATATTGTATTGTGTGCCCACCACCCAAAGTCAGATAATCTTCCATCACCATATATTTGGCCCTTTTTCCATTTTAAAAAATATGAGGTGCTTCACAAAGTTGCATGTCATTCTTGCACAGGGTCCATGCTAATCTTCTCTGTACCATTCCAATTTTAGTGTATGTACTGCCAAAGTCAGCAGGATAATTCTGTGTTTAACTAATTTTTCTTGTTTAATTCTGTTAGCCGATGACCCCAAAATCTATGTCCCTGGCCTCACTTCTCCTGGCCATTGACTTCCAATCCACTCTAACAAACTGGTATCTCAAAATTAACTTGTCCAAATCTGAAGCTGTTTCTCTCCACAACCCCAAACTCCTCCTCCAGTCTTCTCCTCTCCGGAAATCGCACCGCCGCTCACCCAAGGTGCTCAGCCAGGGGCCCTAGGACTCATCCTCAGTTCCTCCCTCCCACGCTCCCCGCAGCCAGTTCATCAGCCAGTGCTGTCCACTCTCATCCACGTGGTTCTCCTCCACAGCGGCTGCCGTGGTCCGAGCCAGAGTCATCCCTCGTCTGGACCTCTGGAACGGACCCCCGCACCTTTCCCTCTTGCCCGGCGAGTTCTTTTTCCACCCTGTAGCCAAGGTCGTCTTTTAAAAACACATCCATGATCACTCAGTCCTCTGCTTCAAACCTCCCAGTGGGTTCACACTGCCATCAGGAGGACAGCCCAAGTGGCTTCCGTGGCTGAGGCCGACGGGAATCTGGAGCTGGCTCCCATCTCCTTGCCCCTCCCTGCTTCCTGCCTCTACCACACTGGCCCTTTTGTTCCTTGAACTGGTACCTGCCACAGGGCCTCTGAACTCGCTGTCCCCTGTGTCAGAAACTGCACGGCTAGTTCCTTGTCACTAATGAGGCTTCCTCTCAAATGTCACCTCCTTAGGGAGGCCGTGCTCAGCTGACCATCCCTTCCCCCAGTCTCAGCTGACCTCTATCTTACTGCATGGATCTAGGTTTTCATTGATAGATCACTGACATTTTCGCATCGTTATATGAAATTAGCTTATTTATATTTATGTGTTTGTTTCCTATCACACCTTTCTAACCCCTGCCCCGTAAGCTGCACGAGGACAGGAATTTTGCCGGTCGTTTTCATGGCTGTATCTCTGGCCCAAGGACAGTGCCTGGCATCTGCAAGACAGGAAGCATGTTTGCTGGATGCCATTGAAGGAGAAAAGTTTACATCTCACCTGGCCTTAGGCAGATCCTGCTGAGCCCACTACCACCTGTCCCCTCTCTCCTCCTCCTCCTCAGCAGCCTTCTAGGAGTGGACCGAATTTGGTAGTCATGAGTCCTTCCCTCTGTACCCTGAGCCATCCAGCTTTTGCCACCATGACCATTCAGAAGTGCTTCCTCAGATTCCCAATGACTGTAAAAGTCATAGCCCATTGCCCTGTGCGCTGTGCCCTTTCTGTAGCATCTGACACGATCCACCTTGTTCACATTGTGACTATTACTTTGAAATGTTACCCTTTCTTGGCTGGGGTCTTCCAGGGGCGTGGTCGTCTGGGAGTACATCCTGGAGTCTCTCAGGGATGCGCTGAGGGTTCCACGTGCTCACACCTATGAGCAGGCTGGCTCGTAGCCAGATGATCCAGAACAGGTGGAATGGGTCAGGGGCACAAAGTCCCCATGAAAAGTGCAAAGGGAGCTGCTCAAAGCACCTGAAGGGATCCTGGCCTCATACAGGTGGGACCTTGGCAGGGGCATTCCCTGCTGGTGTCCGGAGGGCAGGGAAGGAGTCACCACCAAAAGGCACTGCTGGGCTGCCTGCTCTGTGTAGCTGTCTCTGGGCTGTAAATTGGCCTTTTCTCTACAAAGTAAGTGGGATCCTTTGCCTGTGCCTGTGCAATCTGTTGGTCCATTCCATTGTATCAAAGGTGCACCTTCCGTAGCTAGATTCTTGATGTTCTAAATCACAGCGCTCTTCTTGCCCCGCTCAGTTTCTACTTAGAATGAGGAGCCTGAGGTTTTGGAGTGCCCACCTCTCCTATCAATGAGCTGTATGACCTTAAATCCTTGAGCTCCACATCCAAAAAGTGAGCAGAACCACGGCCACCGCACAGGGTTGTTGTAAGGATGAAAGGAGGTCATGCCCAGAACACTGAACCATCAGTGGCTCCCCATTGCCCTCCTGATTAGGGCTGACATTCAGGCCCCACCCCATGTTCCTCCATAGCTCATGATCCCCCACAGCCTCTGCATCCTCAGCATGCCAGGTCCTGCCCCTTTGCACAAACCTTCCCCTGCTTATGGGAGACCATTTTCCCCTTGGGCTTTGTTTTCTATATTTTCTTTCTTTTAAAAATATTTTTTCTTTCTTGATTTTAGAGAGAGAGGAAGGGAGAGGGAGAGAAAGAAACATCGATGAGAAAGAACATCGATTGGCCGCCTCCTGCATGCCCCCCACTGGGGATTAGGCTCACAACCTGAGCATGTGCCCTGACCAGGGATCGAACCAGCAACCTCTTGGTGCATGGATTGACACTCAACCACTGAGCCACACCAGCTGGGCTGTTTTCTGTATTTTCGAAAAACAACAAGAAACATGCATTATGTTTATACTTAGGGAAAATCTTCACCATTGATGTTTTGAATACCCACTCTTATTTTAAAAGCCATGTTCCCCATAAAAATCTTTCTTGATCACCTGTCGTCTATGGTTATACAGGCTTTTAAATCACCATCAGATTTTAAAATATCTCCTAGAGTGTGCCGTTCAGGGCCTTAAAGTACACAAAGTCAAGTATGTATGGGGATGTAACACAAATACACAAACAATTGTCATAGAAAGAAAAAATGCCAACTGTCTGAGGGCCTTGTTTTCTACTCACCTGGGTATTTCTGCTGTGGTGACTGGTGACTATCAGACTGCCTTGCCCGTGGTTTCAGTAAATATTTGTTTAATTGAACTCTTAACCAATGCATGTAAGAACAAGCAGGACCTACATGCCTTGCCTCTAATGAATAGAATAAAAATAACCCGTGTAATTCATCAGATTAACTGATAAAAGGTTTTGTTCTTTCGCCTAGAGAGAGGGCTATAAAGAGATCATTCTTTTTCAAACCCAGCAGTTTAATGCCGCTTGAGTGGATGAAGAGCGGCAGCAGTTGGGATGATATATCAGGTCATATCTATCTTTTGCTTCTGCACCCATGAAATACGCTTGAAATACTTTACAAGGGTCAGATCCCGAGAAGGGATGAGGTGCGGCCCTGTGTCCCTGCCTCCCAGGGGAGCAGTCGTGAAGAAATGCTCACCCTGGGGCACAGGCTTTCTTCTGAGGGCCGCAGGCATCCGTCTGCTGGGGGTGATGTCAGATTACCTGCCTCTCACCTGGTTTTGTGTGAGCAGTTTAACAACGAAGAGGTGATGAACTCTCTCACAAATTTTCAGTTGCTCTGTGCGGTTAATAGAGGAGAGCTACGGATTTTTGTTTTCATCTTATCGATTAGAACTGAAGGCTGAATAAAACACGTTATCCACTGCTAACTTGATCATCTATTTAAGTTTTTTGTTTTCTTTAGATGTGAGCCAAAAATTTCAGTTACATTTTTAGTGACTGTGATCATTAAACAGCCTCCTCTGAGCACCTTCCTGTTGGGAAGTCTGTACTAATTAGGTTAGTTCTGATCCAAAAGGAACATGTCATTTAAAGCAACATAAAAGCCAGTGTTTCTCAACAGGGGGCAGTTTTGCGCCCCCTACCCCCATCTGCAGGACAAGTGGTGGCATCTGAAGACACTTTTGGTTGTCATAACTGGGGAGGGGTACTCCTGGCATCTAGCGGGTAGAGGCTGGGGGTGCTGCTGACCACCCGATGCTCCATAAACAGCCCTACAACAAAGAATTATCAACCAAAATTTCAGTAGTGCTGAGGCCGAGAAACCATCATGAAGACACTTGGATAACTAGTTTAAACACAGTGACTGATTAAGGAATGCCTATGTGTTATATCAACAAGAGACCGGAGGGGCAGAGGATAACTTGGTACCTATCAGAATAGCCCCAGTGGCAGAGTTAAGCTCCTTCGCCAAGGTTGGAGCAGGCTTTGTGAAGGGGGAAAACTGGGGGGTGGGAGATCATTAAGGAGCCGAGAGATCTTCGGGATAACGCGTGATGAATGGAAATCATTCCGATTGTCATCGCTGTGGTCTCCATCCAATAAAAATGCAGTCATTCAGGAAAGGATCACCACTAATGAGCTCTTTACATGGGAAGACGGGGACTTTATCCTGTGATTACAAAATTACTCACCAAGACCAGAAACAACTTGAAGTTCACAATCATATTCACTCAAAAACCAAAAAAGAGGAACCACTCAGACAGCTCAAAGAAGTTATTGCCTCATTTCCTTGTGTGCGGTTCTGGCTAAAAATAACCTTTAATCCTCTTCAAAAGTAAACTGTCTTGTCAAAGAGAATTAGGAAGTTACCTGAGAGCCAGGTTGTAGGGTGGGGTAGAGAGCAATTCAGCAAGGAAGAAATTGCTTGTTGTGTGTGTGTGTGTTTTATTAATTTATTTTTGTTACAGATGTTTCTTCTTTCTTCCCCATTGATACCCTCCTCCCCATCCCCTCCCACCCCATCCCCAGCTTTGTTGTCCTTGTCCATCGGTTATGCGTACATGCATATAAATTCTGTGGTTTATCTCTTCCCTCCCCCTCCCCCCTCTTCTGAGGGTTGTCAATCTGTACCCTACTTCCACGTTTCTGGGTCTACCCTGTTTCTCAGACTGTTATGTTCATTATATTCCACAAATAAGTGAGATCATATGATATTTGTCTTTCTCTGCTTGTTGTGTTTTAAGATTACAACATCGGAAGGACTAGAGAAAACTCGGGGCTGAGGGCTTGTGGACTGTGACGGGAGGAGGAGGAGGAGGAAGGTGCATGGGAAAGTCTGCATGGTTGCATGTGTTTGGGTCAGGAAGCACATGATCCTACCTGGAGTACAGCTGGCTGGCCACGGTGTCTTCACGATGGGCAACATTTTGTTCTCAGCCTTGGGTAGTCTGCCTCGGCCTTGAGTGCCGGCAGAGACAGAGGGTGAGCCACGAGCTCTGTGCCTGTTGGGCCACGGGATGGACCACGGGAAAGGCTGGCCTTAGACTGAGCCCCAAAGCCAGCGTCACCTCG